GGCCGAAGGACCGGAGGACCGAAGGACCGGCGGACAGGCGGATGCAAAACCCATGCGTTGGCGATTGCGGTGAGCTCTCGGCGTTGGCTGCTGCATCCTTGCGGCCGCGCCATCCCCCGCGCGCGCGCAGCGGCCGGCTAGTTTGGCGCGACCGACGCGGCCGCGGTGGCGCTGGCCGCCGGGCACATCCCAGCGGGCTCTTAAGTGCGAGTCGGCGTCTTGGGCGGGCGCAGTTTCAAAGCAACGTCGACAACGGTAGAAACGGCAATCATAGTAGCAATGTTGGCGACGATGTTGACAGCGACGAGGGCGCGGCCAGGGCGGGCGCTGATGCTGATCGCGCCGACGACGATGACGGCGTCCTCGCGTCGGCGATGACGGTTTCGAACAGAGTTCGACGCGCGCGCGGCCGACGCGCGAGAGTGGCCCGCATGGTAGCACACGGCGCAGTCCGTGCCCCCCCCCCAGCACGCGCGCAAGGGCGTGCGAATGATTCGGCATGCGGCGCCGTAGGCCCGTTTGGCAGAATCCCATCTCATTCTAAAGAAGTCGCAAGCGCAAGAACGCGAGCGCGCGCATCTTTGAAAACTGACGCTGCGAAACCATGTTTTTTGTGTGCGACGACGCGCGCGCCCTTCGTCTTCTCTTTTGCAACGGGTTTTCGTGATTGCACGCGCGCAAAAGCGTTCGAACGATTTCGACATAAGCCAGTTTGGTCGCATTTTCAGGAAAAGATGAAAACCATTGTTTTTTTCCCAGAATTTGCAAGAACGCGCGCAATCTGGTTTTGGAAATTTGGGTTGCGAAACCGTGTGTTGTTGGTTGTAAACACATATATATATACACATATATATATATGTATACATACATATGCCTCACCGCGACACCGAAAGTGTTTAAACGATTTCGGCACGCGCTCGTGACAACGCGCGTGTGCGCACTTCGCCCCGTTCTTAGTAAGGGTCCGTGAACATGGATGGTTTTTGATCAGCGAGTGCGCGCGCATTTTTCCAGAAGGTGGCAGGGGGCGATGCCGCCCCCCCCTCTGGGATGGAGTGAGGTCGTAATCGGGATGGACGATAGAAACAGTAGAGGTAAATTCGCTGCGAAAAACCGAATTGATAATTCGGGAGGGGGCGCGAATTTTTAAAGAAAGGAGAATGCGCGTTGTGCAATGTATGTTGTGCAAGTCACTTTGACTGTCTTGACTGGCCTGAAGCTGTCCTGTCCATTGCTCGTGCACACCCCACCCTCCCACCCAGAACTTGGTCGCAATACCTTTGAGGCCGTGACTGTAGGCACCCAGTGGCAGTTGGCAACGACGCCGACGACGACAGCGACAACGGCGACGACGACGACGACGACGAGTACGACGACACCGACGACGACACCGACGACGACTCCGACCACTTCGACGACGACAACGACGACGACGTCACAGACGACGGCGACGACGACGCCGACGACGACGACGCCGACGCCGACGCCGACGACGACGACGACGAATACGCCGACGCCGACGTCGACGATGACGCCGACGACGACGACGACGACGACGGCGCCAACGAAGGCGACGACAACGACGGGGGAGGGGAGAGGAAGACGACGACGACAACGACGACAACGACGAGGGATGAGGGAGGACGGCGCGACGCGAACGACGACAACGACGATGGAGGAGGGATGACGACGACGGCGACGACGACGACGACGACGACGACGACGGCGACGAAATAGGAGGGACGACGACGAGAAGCCGACGACGGACGACGACGACGACGACGACGACGACGACGACGACGAGGGAGGAGGAAGGACGACCACGGCGACAACGATGACGGAAATGACGACGACGCCAATGAGGACGACGACGACGACGACGAGGAAAGACAAAAGACGACGACGACGACGAAAGGGGAGGGAGGACAGCGACGACGACGATGCAACAGCGGTGCGCACGCTGCTGTTGAATTTCCGTGTGTGTTTTTGGGACACTCGATTTTGAAATCTTTCCGAAACCGAAGGTTTTTGAAGGATTTCGGCATGCGCGGGCGACGACGCACGCGCGCGCACTTCGTCTCATTTGTTGCAAAGGATTATTGGAAACCTATGATTTTTGATAAACGAGAGCGCGCATAGAATTTGTTGCAGAGGATGGCGGGGGGAACCGATACCAACTTGGTTTGGATAGTATGAGTTCAAAGGTAGGATGGACATTGGGTCAGAATCCTATGTGTTTTGCATCGGTTCCCGGGGGTCTTTCAGTCCAGGGGGGGAGGGTGGTAGAACTGATGTTTTTTGTTCTAGAAATGAGAGTCTATATGGCGCAAGATATGTTGTGCAATGAAAGAGCGTGTTCTACCGCTGCTGGCGGAAAACGGGGGGGGGTCACTACCGGTTCGAACCCTTCCCCCCCCCCCTCCGGAAAACCGAGGGGGTCATTTCCGGTTCGAACCCCTCCCCCCCCCAGTTCATCATAAAAAGGGGGGGGGTCTCTACCGGTCCGAACCCCCCCCCCCTCGAACTCGAAAACCGGGGGGTGTCACTACCGGTTCGAGACCCCCCCCCAGTTGACAAGGGGGGGGGTCACTACCGGTTCAAACCCCCCCCCCTCGATTTCGAAAACCGAGGGGGGTCACTACCGGTTCGAACCCCCCCCCTCTCGAAAACCGAGGGGGGATGCGAACAGTGGTGGGGACGGTGGTGGTGGGGACAGTGGTGAGGGGACAGCGGGACAGTGGTGGGGCAAGTGGGACAGTGGTGGGGACGGTAGTGGTGGGGACAGTGGTGAGGACAATGGCGGGAACAGTGGGGACAGTGGGACAGTGGTGGGGACGGTGGTGGTGGGGACAGTGGTGTTGGGACAGTGGGAATGTAGTGGAAACAGTAGGACAGTGGAGGGTACAGTGGTGGTGGGGACAGTGGTGAAGGCGGTGGCGAGGACGGCGGTGGGACAATGGGACAGAGGTACAGTGGGGACAGTGGTGGGGACAGTGGGGACAGTGGTGGGAACAGTGAGACAGCTCAATGGTTCGAACCGGTAGTGACCCCCCTCTCCGGTTTTCGAGGGGGGGGGGTCGAACCGGTAGTGACCCCCCCCAGTTTTCGAGTTCGAGGGGGGGGGGGTTAGGGGAGGGGGCGTTTTGCCGGGGGGGGGGGGGGGGGGAGGGGTTCCAGCAGGGGGGGGGGGGGGGTTTTGGGGGGGGGGGGGGACCCCCGGGTTCCGGAAGAAAAGGGCGGCAATTTTCCACAGTAAAGCGGCGGTGGATCACGCTCTCTCTGTGCAATCTGTGCGGTGCAAACGATGTTGTGCAATTCATGTCGGGGCGGCGACGGCTCCAGATCCGCACATGTGCCCAGACCACAGGCGGCGGGGAGGCGGCGACGGGGCGGCGACGGCGACTACATAGCCGCCAAAACGGCACACCGGCCCAGACTACGGGCGGCGACGAGGCGGCGACGGCGGCGACAGCCGCTGGATCGACACACCAGCCCAGTTTTTCAGAAGAGAAGTGAAAAACCCAACGTACAAATACCGTTTGGGGAACTATGAAAAACCTCCGTTTCGATTTTTTCGAGACCCCAGACGATGACGGGCATTATTGGCGAAGGGGCAGGGGACCTGTGATGTCACATTTCGCGCCGACGACGTCTGGGAATGATAACGGCCAAACACCTTTCGGAGGCCAGCACGCATCGTGACGATAGCTGGGATGGGTGGGGTTCGGCTGGGGCCCGTAACGGCGGCCACCGCGAAACATGATAAGGCGTTGTTCTGCTACACTGCCTGCAGGATTCCAAACTGGGCGAGGTCCGGGGAGCCGGGGAGCAGCGGGTCTCTCGGTGGTTGCCGGCTTCTCCCCGGAGAGGCGGCGGCGGCCCCGCCCGCGGGCTCTGGCGGCGGCCAGCCTGGAGAAGAGAAAGCGGCACAGACATTAACTTTCCCACTGGTCCGAGGCTGCGAAAAAAGTGGGTTCGGGGTTTTCGGGCGTTTTCGTTGGCTCTTGACGGTTTTCCAACCCTGGGGTGCGTTCCAGCGGCTGCGCCTCGCCGAGAGGCCTCTAGGGGTGCTCGAATTGTCCCCATCGGCGGCCGGAGTGACTCGAGTTTGTGATTCGGGAACCAGGTCCAGGCGCGACGGCCCAGGATCTCAGATTCTCCGAAAAAGTGTTGGAGCGGCCAGTTGTTTGCCGAGTTCGGCCTCCAGGGGTCCTCAGCGGGCCCCGGCTGTCGTCAAAAAGCGGCTCGGGACGAACCGCCGGCTTCGGGAAGTGGTCCAGATTTTCCAGGGTTGGAGCGTCGGCTGTTTGGGAGCATGGATTTGCAGAGTTCTGCACGGATTTTTTGGATTTGCGCTGAGGTCCACCCCCTGATTTCGGTCACGTCGCCGGAGTTCACCGCTCTCACTTGTGTGGACTTTCCGGCTCAGAACAATAGGGCGGATACGTCCGCAAAAGGATGGCAGAAACAGCGACGGCAAAGGGCGGCGGAACTCGGCAACAAAGGAGCTTGAAACGTAGGGCGGGGAGTTCTTCCATGTTTCCGAACTCGTCTGGACTACAGTGGATCTGGAGCCAGGGCCCGTCCTCTCGCCGCTCTGGCGCCGCTCCTGGCAGGCGCTGGGCGCCAGGGATGGCGGCCCCCCGAGCCCTCGACGTCACTGTTGGTCTTTGGAAGCGGTGTCGACCCCCAGGGGGCTCTTCCCATTCCGCAGGATCCGCTCTTACCCCGAGTCGTTTTTGGACTGTCCAGCTGGCCCGCCGCCGCCGAGGGCTCCCCGAGGCAGAGGGGAGCAGCTCACTCCCCCTCGTCATGGTGCTTTGCCAGGGGGCCTGGGTGCAGCGCCGACCCAGACATTCCGAGCGTAGTGCCGTTCGTTTCTGTTCAGGTCGCTTGTTTGGCCCTTCGCCAGAGGCCAGCACAGCCTGGCGCGCGGGCAGCGGCGGGCGCGGCTGAAGCTGCAGCATGCCTGGAAGGAAGAGCAGAAGGCCAAGCACAGCATGACGCCGTGGGAGGAGTGGCCCAAGAAGGAGTCGAAGAAGAAGCAACCCCAGAACTGCTCGCGTCGTGACATGATCCGAGCGTGCGTTTTGTCAGCGTTTTTGGCCTCGGGGCCCTCGCCAGGCCCGAGGGCCGTCAGAAGCTATTCAGGATGCAGAACCAGCCCTGCGGAAAGAGTCGGGACTTCCAGGGACACCGTACTAACATTGCCCCAGACGTACCCAACCACGACTCCACACGAGTCGACAAACTTTACGCAGGCTCCATGCAAAATCACATGTTGCAAGCACAATCTGCTGCGCTGGACCTCCGAGCAGCCCACCAAGGTGGCCACAGTTGCGCAGTTCGCTGCTCCCGAGGGAGCCGCGAGGTCTCGGCTGGATCTGCGTACAGTTCCAGTCCGCTGGACTTCCCGGGAGCCCACGACCAGGCGGCAGTTGCACAGTTCGCAGACTCCAGGGAGCCGCGGGGTCTCGGCTGGATCTGCATACCCTTCCACTCCGCTGGGCCTGCCAGGAGCCCACCAAGGAGGCCACGCTTGCGCAGTTCGCAGCCCCCCACGGAGCCGCTAGGCGCTAGGTCTCTACTGGATCTGCGTTCTCCCCAACTCCGTCGGGCCTCTCAGAGCCAACGAAAGTGGCAACGGGTACGCATTTTCGCAGCCACGAAGGGAGCCGCGAGGTCTTGGCTGGATCTGCGTGTACTCTCCCACTCCGCTGGGCCTCCCAGGAACCCAGTAGCCCATGAAGGTAGCGACAAGTGCGCAGTTCGCAGCCACCCCAGGGAGCCTTGAGGTCTCGGTTGGATCCGACATTCCGTTGTTTCGCTGGGCCTCCCAGGAGGCCACGAAAGTGTCGACAGGTGCGCAGTTCGCAGCCACCACAAGGAGCCGCGAGGTTTCGGCTGGATCTGCGCGTACTCCTCTACTCCGCCGTGCCTCCTTGCCACGAAAGTGTCGACAGGTGCGCAGTTCGCAGCCACCCCAAGGAGCCGCGAGGTCTCGGCTGGATCTGCGCGTACTCCTCTACTCCGCCGTGCCTCCCTGCCACGACAGTGGCGACAGATGCGTAGTTCGCAGCCCCCCAGGGAGCCGCGAGGTCTCGGCTGGATCTGCCTACTCCCCCATTCCGTTGGGCCTCCCAGGAACCCGTGAAAGTAGTGGGAACAGTTGCGCAGTACGCAGCCATAGGGGAGCCGCAACCCCCTTCATCTCACCAGGAAGACGCGAGGAGGAGGATGAGGAGGAGGAGGAGGAGGAACAGGGGGAGGAGGAGAGGAAGACGAGGAGGAGCAGGAGGAGTAGGAGGAGGAAGAGGAGGAGACGGAGGACGAAATGGAGGGGGAGGAGGAGGAGGAAGAGGAGGAGGACCAGTGTAAACTCAAGAGTCATCAACGATGTTGGGATACACCCTCCCTCCAAGCTTCCTCTCCCTAGGCCCCATACAACCTCTCATTTCCATGAAGGAACTGCCTCTTTGGAAGACAACCGATTGAAGACCCTGAGGCAGGTCAAAACATTCTTCTCGGGATTTCAATGCTACGGATCAACCTGGCTGTTGCGTCTTGACAATCCTGAACCGTGCCAGAACGACATTCCTAGGACTTCAACACAGCGAATCTACATAACTGTTGCACCCTGATAATCCTGAATCCGGGAAATTCGTTGATCATGGGAATGTGAAGCCCGCATTTCTGGCCTGTTGATCATGGGAATCCGTGAAACTCGTGTACACTGCAAAAACGAATGTGCGCCGCGCTAAAACGAGAACAACCTTTCGACAAGGAACCGCCCTCATTCCGTGAAGCTCTTGCACACATTTCATTAAAAAACGAATGTGCGCCGCGCTAAGGCGCCGCCCCCAATCCGTGAAACTCTTGGCGAATGTTTGAAACGAATGTGCACCGGGCTCAGGCGAGAGCTACATTTTGAAAACGACCCGCCCCCAATCCGTGAAACTCTTGTAATACTTTAGGACGAATGTGCGCCGCGCTGGGGAATGCTACATTTGAAAACGACCCGCCCTCAATCCGTGAAGCTTGTGTACCTTTGTAAAACGGATGCGCGCCGCGTTTCGGCCAGAGCCACATATTTAAAAGCCCGCCCTCCATCTGCGAAGCTGCTGTCAGTTTTTAGGCTTCAGAATCAGACATGGTGAGGAAATCTCAAACAAAACGCCCGGCCCGCCTTAAAAACTGGCCCTGGGGTGCGCCAGGGAAAAATTTACAAGGACAAGGAATTGAGGAAGAGGAGGAGGAGGATGGGTAATAACACAACAGGCGTCGTACCTACTGTTAGTCTAATGTAAATTAAAAAGGAGGAGGGAGGGGAAACAGGCGCAACTGACGTGGCCTTCGTGCCGACGTGGTGATCACGGCCGCGCGGCTTGATTTGGCCGTCGCCGACCCGATCATAGGGGCCACCTACGCCGACGTGGTGATCACAGGCGCGTCCATGGGCACGGGCGCAGCCGCCGGGCGCAGCCGCGCCACGCGCGACGGGGCCGCGGCGGCGGCGCCAGAGACTCGCCAGCACCGCCTCTGCCCGGGCTCAGCCCTGGTCGCCTCGACACACAGGGGCGAGCCGGGAAGGAGGCGCAGGCGCTCTTGCGGACCTGGGTGGCGGGCGACCCGGCGGCGTTGCCGGCGGTTCGCCAGAACCTGGCCGCCCGGCGCCGCGCTGCAGCGCGGCAGCCCGGAGGTCTACTGCACGGCCGCACTGCCCGACGTCGCGGCGCGCCGCCTGGCGGGCCCTGGCGGCCCAAACCCGCCCGAGCACCGCGCCAGGCAGACCTCGCCCGCGCGACCCTTGGATTTTGAGCGCCCCCGACTAGTCGCCGACGGCGCAATGCTGGCCAATTGCCGAATCGGCGCCACCGCGGCCGAGCTAGCGCGGGGCAAAGAGCTCCTAGGGGAGCAGTTGCGCAGTTCGCAGCCGCCCAGGAATCAGCAAGGTCTCGGTTGGATCCCGTCAGTCCGTTATTTTGTGGTGCCTCCCAGAAGGTTCCGAAAGTGGTGACAATTACACAGTTCGCAGCCACCCAGGGAGCAACTTGGTTTCGGCTGGGCCCGCGTACTCCGCTACTCCGCCCTGCCGCCCAGGAGCCCACGGAAGTGGCCGCAGTTGCGCAATTCGAAGACATCCAGGGAGCAGCGAGGTCTCGGCTGGATGCGACCACTCCGTTACTCCGCCGCGCTTCAAGGAACCCACGATTCAAAAAAAACGACAGTTGCGCAGGTCGCAGCCACCCGAGGAGCAACGATCGAGGTTTCAGCTGGATTCGCGTGCTCCGCAACCCCGCCGCGCTTCCCAGGAACCCGCGAGGGTGGCGACAGGTGCGCACTTGGCAGCCACCCAGGGAGCAACGACCGATGTCGTGGCTGGATGTGCGTGCTCCGCTACCCCGCCGTGCCTCCCAGGAACCGAGTCCGCTATTCAATCGTGCCTCTTGGGGGCCCACGAAATTGGCGACGACTGCTCAGTTCGCAGCCACTCAGGAAGCAGCGAGGTCTCGACTGGATGCGCGTACTCCGCTACCCCGCCGTGCCTCCCAGGACACTGCGAAAAAAAAAAAAAAAACATCAATTGCGCACTTCGCAGCCTCCCAGGGAGCAGCGAGGTCCCGGCTCGCATTCCAGTATTCCGCCGTGCCTCCCAGGAACCCGCGGAAGTGGCGCCAGTTGCGCAGTTAGCCCCGGGAGCAGCGCAGGAGGAGGTAGGAGGAGAGACGGACGATAACAGAAAAGTGTTCGGCCGCAGCGCTGCACCCAAAACGAAAGCCCAAACCATGGGAGCTTGGCAACAACACGTGCGCGCTCATTTTATGACTTGCAGGAGGCAGCCCCAGCGGACGTCATCCTCGAGCTGTCCGTCCCAAAGCCCGCGGCGAAGCACGTGTCCCAGGCGAAGGAGAAAGGCAGGGCTTCAATCTATCTGGCCGATCCGATTCATTGTCCGCTTGGCCGCCCCCCGATCCGATTTCGATATTCCGACGATCCGACGCAGGCCGATGTTGGCACGGTGTTGGTGGATTTCGTGGCGCAGCTGGTCTGTTTTGATTTCGGTTCCGTGCTGATGCGGCACGCATGTTCCGATCCGATTCGATTCCCAAAATTGGATACTTAATGATCGCGTGCTCTCTCCGTTGTTTTTCCGGCACGTCGTCAGCCGTAGCTCCAGACCCCCGGCGTCGTGATTTTCCCATGATGTGGACCGCCAGAAATTGTACCCCTCCCGCGCGACCGGCTTCTCATCTCGAGTTGTTTTTTGTTCGCGGCCCCAACGCACGGCATCCGAAGGCCTCCCAAATGCCGACCATAGCGAAAAAAAACGTTCGTCTTGTTTTGTTTGGCGACGCGAACCTGGACATATGGCGGTCTTATTTCGTATGCGTGGAGCCCCGGAGGTCTGGACAGGACCAATCCCCCATTTGTTTGTATGTTCCTGAGTTAAAACCTGGGCGTATCGTCCTCCCTTTTTTCCTCATCTTCCTTTTTTTCCTCCTCCTCCTACTCCTCCTCCTCTTCCTCCTCCTCCTCCTCCTCCTCCTCCTCCTCCTCCTCCTCCTCCTCCTCCTCCTGCTCCTCTTCCTACTCCTCTTCCTCCTCGTCCCCCTCCTGCCTCCTCCCACGCGGCTTCCAGAGAGGCTGCGAGCTGCGCAAGTTCCGCCACTTTCATAAGGGCCCTGGGAGGTCCACCAGCGGATTCGGAGGCCACGCGGACCCAGCCGAGACCTCATTGCTTTCGTGGGCACCTGGGAGGTCCGGCTGAGCCGCGCGCTCGGACCTGGACGGGACCTCGCTGCTCCCTGCGTTTTTGCGGACCTTGCTACGGTCGCCACTTTCGTGGGCTCCTGGAAGGTCCAGCGGAGTCGGGTGTCTCGCTGACCTGGCCGGGACCTCGCTGGTCCCTTGGTGGCTGCGCAATTGTTACAACTTTCGTAGGGGTCTTGGGGGTCCAGCGTTGTTGGGTGTCACGCGGTCCCAGCCGAGACCTCGCGGCTCCCTGGGTGTCTGCGAAGTGCGCAACCGTCGCCCTTCTCATGGGTTCCTGGGAGGTTCAGCGGAGTCTGGGGCCACGCGGACCCAGACGAGACTTCGTTGCTCCTTGGGAGGCTACGCAGGGCGCTACTGTCGGCACTTTCGTAGGCACGGCGGAGATTAGGGCAGCGCAGATCGTGCATATCGGGCGATGTGTTCTGTTGTATGGAGCCTTTGAGAAGTGGTTGGGTACGTCTTGGGCCACTCTTTGACAGTCCCGGGCCCCGAGAACGGTCAAACACAGGCCGCTCCAATTTGTTTGCAGCCTCGGATCTTTGGGAGGAGCTCCCATCCGATGTTCCGATTCGACGTTGGCTGATTCCGCAGAGGCGGCGCGCCTGGGAGGCCCACGGCCTTCCGAGCCGTACAGTAGGGGTCTTGAAGAAGGAACCCTTCTCGTTGGGGAGCGGCTCCGTGTTCCTTGATTGTTTCACAGCTTGCCTCATGTTCTCCCAAGGTTTTCGATAGGGAGTCGAAGTTTAACCCATGGGAAAGGAGGGGCCTCGTTCCTTATTTAGGGTTCCTTAGGTCAACGCCCCGACTGTACGAGTAGGCCCGCCCCTCCTCACTCTCCCCCGGGCTCGTCGCCGAGGCTCGGCGGTGCGATACATCGCCGATGGATCGCTGATGCGCCCCGGGTTCGATCCATGCCCCCTGACTCGATCCCCCCTTCACGTTGCCCCCGGATTTCTGGCTCGGGCCTCCGGCGCTCCTTCGGGGCGATCCAGGCACCCCCAGAACGCCCTCGGCGAGGCGTCGCTGGGCTCGCCGCCGAGACTGATCCCGCAGAGGCGGCGCGGTCATCCTGTGGCACTGCCGGGGGCCCTGCGAGAGCAGCGCGGACGCCTCGCAGCTGCAGGCGAGGCGGCGCCGCCTCACGGACGCGATGCTGCGCGACGTGGCCTCCCGCACGGGCGAGAAGGTGCAGGTGGTCCAGTGGTGGTTCCTCGAGAAGGAGGGGGTAAAGGTCGGAGCCGTCTGGAGGTCTGAGGTGGCCCAGCACTGGCCCCGGCGAGCGGAAGGGCGGGCAGGTTCGAGGTCCTCGGTTCGGGATGGTTGTGTTACATGTTTCGGCCTCTGGGGGGGCGTTTTCGGGATGTGGGACGGTCGAAAAAGGATCCGGGGTGAAAAACTGCACCAGAGGGTCCCCGCAGGAGGAGTCTGGGGACAGATTATGAGCAGATCTGGCCTCATTCCCCATTCCTTGCCGATTTCCTCGTGTTCCAACCAGGTCAAGTCTCCCCTGGCACGAAATCGAAAAAGGCACAGGGAAGGGACGTCCGAGCGATGGCGAGTGTCCGGAACCAACGCTGGCGTCGACACGACACGAGCCTGCCGTAGAGCTGCTGATGATGCTACCCGTCTTTCGCTTTCGCTTCTTTGGGCCTCCTGCCCTCCTCGCCACGGCTGGGTTGGGGTCAGAATCCTGGTCAGAACGCACCCTGGGAGAGGTCAGGAGAGGCGCCGTGAATCAGTCAGATCTCCGACGATCTGATTTGTTCAGCTGGCATTTTTGTTCCGATGCTGGTGCTTTGTGTCGGGCCCCAGGGCTATGGGACGTACCGATCTGGAGCGAAACGCAGCCCTCGGGGAAGCGGTCGGGGCCTCTGGGGCCGCGGTCTGGTGGCGGCCCTCGAGGAAGAAACCCCATGGTCGGGGCTTTTTGCAACCTTTTCACACAGAGCGTTTCCGTCTGGTTTCGAGCCCTCGGGGGGGTCACCACAGATCGCTCCAGCTCACCGATGCCGCTATACCCCTCCTTCGTTTTCTTTTTGTTGGGGGGGCCTCTTGGGAGGCCCTCGCCACCACGGCCGGCTGCATTCGCTTCGAAGTCCTGGTCAGAACGCACCCCGGGAGAGGTCCGGGGCGGCGCCGTGAGCCCAGGGAAACACTGCAGCGCAGGCATTCATGTTCGGAGGTCCGCCCGGCTTTTCTGGAGCGGCGCCGGGCCTCCATCCCTGCCGCGCGGACAGCGGTCAGGGGCGGCGCTGGAGATGCCGCCAGGGTGGCCTAGACGCCTACTCGAGAAATCCTCGCGGAGCTCCGAAAGTTTGTGTGTTTGAACTGGTCTCGGGAAGCGGCGAGGTAGCCGGTATCGGTGACCCTGACGTCCGACCTCGCTAACAAAAGTGCAGCATCGCCAAGCATCGCGACGGGAGCCCTATGGAACCCACGTTTTTGCTGCATGTTTCGGGCCAGATCGATCCGTCGGGCGAACACGCCCAGTGTATAATACAAGCTGCAGGATCGCAGCACAGTCGGTACCTCGACATCGGGCGCTTCATTTTGTCCGATGCGTGGACCCCCGAGGTCTGGACCACTTCCCCAGAGGCCGGCTTTTCGTCCTGAACCGTTTTTTCTGACGGCAGGCGGGACCTGGGACCCGTTGAAAGCCCCAGGATGCCGAACATTGCCAACACCGGCCGCTCCAATTTGTCCGGAGCTTCGCATGCGACATCTGGACTTTTGTTCAATAGGTGGTCCCTGGAAGTCCGACCTTTTCCCTGGGGCCGGCTTTCCATCCTGATCGTTTTGACGGTCCCGTGGCCTGGCGAGGGCCTCGAGAGTAACCGGAGAAAATCTTCCAGTCCTGATGTTTCACCACGCGAGCATGTCTGGGTATTTTCGTTTCTCTCCCTTCGAGGTTCCGCATCTTCGAGTTCTACTGCGCCCGGCCCGCCGACCGGTGGCCCAGCCTGGCGGACCTGCCGGTGCAGGAGTCTGGGCCGGAGAGCGCATCCGACAGACTCCAGAGGCGACGCAGGAGCTCAGAGAAACAAGAAGTCATGATAACCGCCTACGGGCGATGATAAATCATACCCCCCCATTTCACTCTCTCTATTTTGTTTATCCCCGTTCAATCGGATTTAATTGTGGTGAGGGGCGCGGAGGCCAAACTTGATAATCCACGCGGGAAGTTAAGAATCGAAATCGCTATCATCTCATGTTGAGTAGCAGCGGCACCAAAAACGCTGAGCATGGCCATGGTGGTCTCACCATCTCAGCTTCCCCAATCACGAGCATGTGGTAGGGCTGTGGGATTCTCACCACTTCAGTTTGCCCATGCCGTGAACGTGCGGCAGGGCCATGGGATTCTCATTTTGTCAGCCGTTCCCGAGTCAGGAACGTGCGGCAGGGCCATGGGGACCGATTGGAGTTTGCTTTTACATGCGTTTTCCGAGGAGGCAAAGCATTGGATTTTTACTTGTTTAGTGCATCCCTCGCAAGGTTCGTTGCCCTTCCTCCTCCTCCTCCTCTTCCTCCTCCACCCCCGCAGCTGCCCAGGCCCGAGCCTCCCCGTATGTCCGAGACTCCGAGCTTTCGAGCTTCTTCGAGGCGCCGAGCCTTTTTCGTTTCAGGGGCATCGATTGGGGGGACAGGCAGAAGGGGACACATCGATCCCCAATCGCCTGCGATCGCAGAGCGGCCCCGAACCTGCCCAGGAACGTGCGGATTCACGACGAAGCGCGCAGCGCCGATGCCTCGGCGATGTATCGCCGATTACAGGTCGATGTTTCCCCCTCCCCAAAGCCTATCCCGCCCCAGATCGTTGTCCCTGAGTGCGTCGCGGGCCTAAGCCATGTCCCAGGCTGCCGAGCGCGCCCAGGCGGCGACCCAGCCTGTCGCTGCTCTGCAAGGAGTCGCGAGCCCGAACTTGAATAATAACCTCGAGCGCACGGCCAAGCAGAACGAGAAGATCCTCGACAAGCTGTCCTTCGTCGCGGACAAGGTCGCTATTGTCGAGATGCGCCAATGCCAATCGAGCGCGCAAGGCACTGACGCAGCAAGAATGACGGCCTGCTTTTCTCAAGGCGGAAAGCGCCTCGTGGTCAAGCGGCGCCGAGATGGTTCACAAGCGGCGGTTCCTTCGAGAGCATCAAGTGCGGGCGCGTCTTCAACGAGAAGGACCAGAGGCGCATCGAGCTGGCGGCGGTGTTGTTCTACAAAGCTACTGCGAGAATGACGACCGCCTCTACGATATCTTCGAGAATCATGGACAGTTGCCCGGGAACCCGCGCTGGTTCATGCCGAGCTTCCAGGCGAATATGCAGGAGGTTGCCAAGAAAATGGACATCGAGCTCGGCGCCGAGAACGTCCAGCGCCTCACCTTCGGTTCCCACTCCGAGCGCGCCGGCCCCCCGACGTCCTCTCCGAGCTCCTCCACCTCCACGACCGCACGCTGCCGTTCAGCAAGAAATTCGAGCCCGCCGAGCAATTCTCCGCGTTGCCCCCCTCCCGAGGCCAAGCAGTTCGCCACATGGCGCCGCCGGGGCGGCGTCGTTTCGGGCCCTGGCCGCGCGCGAGCCACCGCGCAAGCGGTTGTCAAGTGGCGTCGGAGCCCCGAGCGCACTGTCGACGTGGCCTACGAGCTCCAGGAGCGGAGCTACCAGCACGAGCGCCCCAAGCTTGACTACGCAAGCACTGACGAGCAGCGCGCCGTCGAGGCAACGCCGCTCAACCAGCGCATCGAGTTGGTTTTCGAAGCGCTCGCCAACGCCCACGCCGACTACGACAGGATTACCAGCCAGCTCGAGCCCGAGATAAGCCAGGCCGACGCGAAGGCCGAGCCAGAGGCCGACGAGTTCACGCTCGTGGACTCCTGGGGGCCGAGCGGCGGCGAGCGGCGAGCGCCTGGCGCACGAGCGCCCCGAGCCAAGCGCCCCCGTGCTTTTTGCTGCGAGGGCGCCGCGCGAGCGTCTCGAGGCGCGCGCTCGAGCCCCATCTGCTCTTCGAGCTCCGAGCGAGCGTTCGCGCGCGCGCGAGTGGCGCTCCGAGCTACGGGGCGCCGCCCCCCCCCCCCCTCTCGCCGAGTGATCCTCGATCAGGCATCGTTCAATCAAGCGGGCTCGACCCCCCGTCCTTGGATCGAGGGCCCGAGATCTTGAGCCCGAGCATATTCGGGCACCTTTGGCCCCAGATCCGAGGATCGCCAGGCTTGGACTCGAAGATCTCGGGTTCGCGATCCGACGATCGAGGGTCGAGCCTCGGCGATCGTCGATCTTCGCCGTCGCCGTCGCCAGGCCCAGGCCGCCATCGAGGAGGCTCGATCCTCGGACCGTGGATCCGCGATCTTGATTCCGATCAGCTTTGAGCGCCTTGGATCCCAGATCCGAGGCTCGCCGCGCTTGGATTCGAAGATCCCGGATTCGCGACCCGAGGATCGAGGATGAACCTCGGCGATCGTCGATCGCCCTCGTCGCCGCCCTCGGGCCCAGACCGCCGTCGAGCAGGCTCGGATCGAGAATCGAGGGTCCGAGATCTTTGTTCTGGGCATCCTCGAGCGCCTTGGATCCTAGATCCGAGGATCGCCGCGCTTGGACTCGGAGATCTCGGGTTCGCGATCCGAGGATCGAGAGTCGAGCCCCGGCGGAAGCGGATCGCCCCCCTCGCCGCCCTCGGGCGCTCCGGCCGCCATCGAGGAGGCTCGATCGTCGAGCCTCGGATCGAGGATCCGTGATCTTGATTCCAAGCATCTGAGCGCCTTGGATCCTAGATCCGAGGATCGCAACGCTTGGACTCGCAGATCTCGGGTTCGACATCCGAGGCTCGAGGATCGATGCTCGGCGATTGTCGATCTCCCTCGTCGCCGTCGTCGGGCCCAGACTGCCATCAAGCAGGCTCGACCCTCCATGCTCGGATCGAGGATCCGAGATCTTGGTCTTGAGCATTTGCGAGCACCTCGGATCCTAGATCCGAGGCCCGCCGAGCTTGGACCCAGGATCCTTGGCCCTCGATCTTAGGATCGGGGATCGAGCCTCGACGCCTGGCGGCCACGCGCGCACGCGCAAACGCACGCACGCAAACGCACTAACGCACGCACACGCACACGCACACTCGCGCACTCGGACACTCACACACCTCACACACTCACGCGCACGTGCTCACACATTCACACACAACAGCAAAATCACAAACAACAGCAGCCACAACAGCAGCAGCACCCAGCAAAACAACGGCAACAGCAGGCCACAACAGCAGCCATACCAACAACAATAGCACAGAACAGCTGCCACGACAGCACAGGCCAAGCCCGCCGCGTCGCCGATGCATCGCCGAGGCCCGCCGATGCGTCGCCGAGGCGGTGCAGGCAATGTGGTGACATGGGCGCTGGCTCTGCAGTGCAAGCACTGTTCGGGTCAAGCCCGCTGCGGGCGCTGCACCTTCCGCGGCCCATTCAGGCTCGAGCATTCCAAGCCAGCTGAGGACGCAACAGTTTCCATGGCCTGGTCGGACAGCGACGATCGCCGGCCCTTCGCCGAGCGGTCGGACGGCGAGAGCGCCGTCTCACTGATGTTTCTCGCCGAGCAGACGCAGGGCGGCGAGCGGGCGGCAGAGCGCGCGCAGACCGAGAACTTCGAGGAGGGGAGGACCGCGGACTGCTGCGAGCAGCACGAGGAGACGCAACCCACTATGGAGGAGGGCGTCGCCCCCCCCCCCCCCCCCGCGCCGTCATGCCGAAATGGCCGTTGTCTGGCCCGCGCCTCGGGGCCAGACGAACGGGCGCCCGAGGGCGAAGGCGACGGGGGGGGGGGGGAGGGGAAACAAGGAAGATGACGATCGGAGGAGAGAAGATGAAGGAGTACGACAGAAAGAGATGCGACAGCACTGTTTCTTATATTGTGGGAGGGCGAGTAGGACTGGGGCCAGGGCCCCCTGACTCGCTCGAAGTGGCTAGCTTGATCAGTCCTCATAGTCCTCCTCCTCCCCCCTCCTCCTCTCCTCTCTCCTCTCCTCCTCCTCCTGAACCAACTCCTCGTATTCGCTTACCCCTTGCCAGTGCGGAAAATGCATGACGCTGGCCTCTTCGGGCCTTTCTCGAAGTTCTCTCGGGCCGTCTTGGCGGCATCGCGGCAGCTTTTCTGTCGGGGCCGTCTTCGGGGATTTGGGCCCATCTTGGGCCCCAGACGCCGCCGTCGCGGCTCAAGTTCTTGCCATCAACATTCTGGCCATTGTAGCATCAGCCGAACCAACCATTCACCCATTGGCCGTTGGCAGATGGGCGCCAGCAAAAACAAGCAGCCTGCGCAATCTTCGGAATACTGTTCTGAGGGGAAGATAGCAACGCCCGTCAAAATCAGATTGAAGGAGCTCCCAGCGACCTACCGCAAGAAGGCAATCGTCTGGGTCCCGATTGAGATCGACGTGGCTGGCAGGCGCGCCGACTCCTCGGCGGAGGATCAGCGCCGCCTCTTGGCGGCTGTGCAAGCAGCTTCAGATGGTGCTGCTGATGATGGCGATGCACCGCGCGCTTGCCCGCTGGGATTTGCTCCGGGGGTTGCGACGCACAGCGTGCCGACAGCGCCCGCGCCCGTCATCGCCCCCGACTTTGATCAGACCGACGGCGAGCACGTGCAGCATCTCGGTCGCCAGCCCGACTCGGTGTTCGAGCCGCCAGCGACAGCGGGTTGCGCCGGCGCTGGCTCGGCAAGCGGCACGGCGCCGCCGTCGCCAGCGAAGACGCAGTTTTCTTTGCTCACGCCCGACGCGAACATCAGCCTCAGCCAGGGCGCATTGTCGACCAGGGCGCAGTGGAGCTCGGCCGTGGAGAAGCAGGCTTTCGAGCGGCGCGCCGCCGAAAGGGCTGCCGCCGCGGCCGAAGCCGCCGCCGAGAGGGCTTCCGATGAGAGCAAAGTCCTGGCGCGGCGCTCTAGCGTTCAGAACAGCAGCCACGACGCCTCGCAGCCGCAGGATCGCACCGCGATTCCGCGAAGGATCAGAACATTGACCAGGGCGGCGCGAAGCAGCGGGACATCGACAAGGCCC